CCACCACCACCACCACCACCATTTCTCCTTCTTCTCCTTCTCCTTCTCCTTCTCCTTCTCCTTCTCCTTCTCCTTCTCCTTCTCCTCCTCCTCCTCCTCCTCCGCCTCCGCCTCCTCCGCCTCCACCACCACCACCACCACCAGTTCTCCGTCTTCTCCTTCTCCTTCTCCTTCTCCTCCTCCTCCTCCTCCTCCGCCTCCGCCTCCTCCGCCTCCACCACCACCACCACCACCAGTTCTCCGTCTTCTCCTTCTCCTTCTCCTTCTCCTCCTCCTCCTCCTCCTCCGCCTCCGCCTCCTCCGCCTCCACCACCACCACCACCACCAGTTCTCCGTCTTCTCCTTCTCCTTCTCCTTCTCCTCCTCCTCCTCCTCCTCCGCCTCCGCCTCCTCCGCCTCCACCACCACCACCACCACCAGTTCTCCGTCTTCTCCTTCTCCTTCTCCTTCTCCTCCTCCTCCTCCTTCTCCTCCTCCTCCTCCTCCTCCTCCTGACCAACAAAGTTCTGGGCTGTCTTCCTCCCCCTTCTCTTAAACCTCCCTGTGAGAAGATTGCTTCTCTCCCTCACAGACTGTTCACAAAACAACTTCGTCTGACTTCCAGCTGCAAAATGACTTCATGATAATGTTTACCTCCTCGCTTTACATTATGGCTTTTATTGAACCCGATACGTTAACGCTCAGCTGTGCGGTTGCATTGGAAAAGGTCTCAATCATAGCATTTGTAAAAATAAAACTGGAAATTGGGTCGTATTTCATCACTTCCACTAGGTACTTTATCTGCATAGTTTCCTGAGGGCACCCTGGACTCTAGTAATAAATGGCCATGTTCCGTTTTTCTATTGATGGAGTGTTTAACAGAGTGCAAAATTGGCTCGATGTTTTTTGGAAAAAAAGGCCCTTTTTTCATTGAATAGCCTTAAATTGCTTGCTCCCCAAAAGTAGAAAATCCCCCGACACACACATGCGAGCGCGGGTGGGGGGGAAGGTGTCAGAAGTCCAAGATGGCAACCGTGGCTGTGCAACTGAAGCGCTGACTCTTTCTGACATGCGTCGCAGGCTGCTAAAGCCTTCTCTCCCCTCACCCATTTTTGTTTAATGGATTTTTTTTTTTGGTTGGTTTTTTTCATTTGATGTGGCTTTTGAATGATTTTGAAATTCCACTCTGGGTTTGATTTTTTCCCCCCTCTTGTTCTTCATCCATTTTCTGTGATGGAGTTGGGTTGCTAATAAATTCAAATAAATAAATAAAATAAATGTTTTAAACATTGAAGTGAATGTATTTCAGTGACATCTTCCTTGTAGATCAGTGTTGAGCCATCAGTGTCCTTAGAGATGCAGGAATCTATAAATGGGATGGATGGATGGATGGATGGATGGATGGATGGATGGATGGGTGGATGGATGGATGGATTGATAGATGATAGATACTCATAAGTAAAACTAAGCCATAAAAATCTCACGTAGAGCCTTTTCTGGCTTGCTCTACTGTACTCCATCTGCAAATGTTAAAATTATCAATATAAAAAAATTGGATCCAGATGGGGAAGGGTTCAGTTTAGTTCCTGTGCTTGGCCATGTTAAGTATGACCCCAGGGACATGGTTTTAGAAAGATCTGTCAAAGGAAGGGTTATTCTACTTAAAGTTAATTGAAACAACTGTATTAAATAAAGACGATATTAAAATCTGCTTTGGTTTTGTTTCGGTACTTCAGTCTTTTGGTTAGTTGTGTTTTTGTATATTGGTTTGTAGTTGTAAGCTGCCCGGAGTTTGTAGTTTGTAAGCTGACCGTGGCTTAGGAGTTTGGCGACCTATAAAGAAAGTAATAAAATAAAATAAATCTGTGCCCATGTGACGCTTTTTCCAAAGCCACCACTTTACCTTAGTACCTACGGTTTCTCTCTCGCTTTGCTTTTTCTCCTTCTTCCTTGGCACATCAACGTCTCTCTTCCCCAATTTTGGGTCCACTGTAGATGTAAGGCTGTATCTTGCATGATTCTTAAACAATGTTGTTACGGTGGTGGTTGCTAAAAGAAAGTCTTTGACTTCCCCTACTGACCTTCGATTGCTTGTTTGAGGTTTGTGGGGTTGTTCTGACTGAAATTTAATTCGGTGTTACATTTGTGTTAAGCTGGCCAGTTCTTTTCTTACACTTCCTTGCCAGCCCTGGAAAAAGCTGAGCAAATCAGACTTGGTTTGTCCTTGGATGAAAGACCACCATTGTGGGCTTGCGGGCTAGGTGGGGAAGTCAGAACACATCCCAGGAGAAGGCAGAGAGAAACTGCTTTCCTGTTACTATCCAGAAGATGACCTGGACATCTCCATGAAGTCCCAGACATTGACCTTGACTTCAGGGACTCTTAACTAGTACCCCAGCTCTGATGGCAGCCTCTCAGTGACCGTGGCTGATGGCGAACAACTAACGAGGGCCCTTCCTGGTTGGACCCTGAGTAGGAGACCAAGGAGATCCCAGGGTTGTAGGCTAGACTGGGAAGTCCAAAGGATACTCTGAAGAAGACCAGGGCAGATCTCTTTGGCACTGAGGCTAGGACAGCTGGATGGAGAGCTCTGAACAGTCTTCAGTTTCCCTCCAGACTTTTCTTCTCCGCCTTCATCTTTTGGAAAAGCGACCCATGACGTGTGAGATTTGGAGAGCTTTCATTCAGAGCTGTTTTGATTGTTAAGACCACCGGTGTGAATGGCTTCCAGTCCCCTTTCTTTTGGGGGGTGACAGTTGGAGCTTGTGTAATAATCTAATACCTGGCATATTCATAGAGTAATCATGTTTTCTTTCTTGCCTGCCACCCACCCCCAACCCAAAAGACAGTCAATACGATGCTTCCAAACGCATTTGTTTGGAGCATTGCCATTTTCTCTGGCCGTGGGAAATTCTCTCCCCGCTCCTTGATGATACGTTGAATTTCTCCTCTTTCTGAAAACTGCAGATGATTGATGGTCATTACAGAAGCTGTCGATAAAAGGACGTTGCCAACAGTTTCGAGAATGGTTGGTCTTTCTTACAACAGCCTCCCTAAAGTTCGCTTCTCTTCCTCTCGGCCAGTGTTTTCCTTTCTGGAGCAAACGTGGCCTCACTTACCTATCTTAAATATGTCTAGTTTCAAAAATGAGAATGCAGCTTGGGCCTGTGTGTCAGCTTGAGACTTCCTTCTTGCTTGGTTTCTAATGTGGATGTGGATGTTTGGGAGGGAGCTGCATTCATGCACAACAGCGTGTCTTTCTCACAACTTGGAAGCATCGCCCCTCTAAATATGAGGAGGGAATGATCTGGGCTGGGACTGTCAAAATACTTATTTTCAAGGATAAACCTGCCTTGGCAGCAACATGCCAAGGCAGGTCTTTGATCTTTTTCCTGTGTTTAACCTGAGATTAAACGGTTTAAATGCTGGCTTCTCTCTCTGCTTTGCTGGCTTTTGCTTATTGGGTGATCATAGTTTCACTGATTTTTAAAAAGTTTTGTTTGTTTTATTTGCCCACCTCACTTTTTGAGCTAGATCTGTTTAGGATTGATGCGAGGCCAGGTTTGTTCCGAAAAATGTGGAAAATATCTCACATGCGCATACATGTTCAAGTTGTAGAATCACAGAATGGAGGGGTTGGAAAGGACCTTCAAGGACATCTGGTCCAACCCCCGGTTCAGGGCACCACTTCATTTCCAAAACATCCTCTGGGTTCCTGGCCCACCTGGTGCAAAGCCCCCAGACCAGGGCATTCTTGTGCCCCTCTTTGTCCTCTTCACCGCTGAGCTATGTATTTACCCCTTTTTTCTCTGCAGGAGCTGAGCGATGTCTCGCCCCTCATGGCTGCCCCCCAAGAACACCGGTGAACCGGTTGGTCACGTCACTGCAAGGATGGAGACCACCCATGCTTTTGGGACCCCCAGCATTTCCATTTCCACTCAGCAAACCCCCAAAAAGTTTGCTCCGGTGGTAGCTCCTAAGCCGAAGTACAACCCTTACCGGCCGGGGGAAGGAGAAGGTAAGAATCCGTTGGCTTTTGGACTCTGCATCCTTTTTTCTCACTAACCCCTGCGAGCTTTAAGAACAAGAAAACACCCATGGAAATTGGGGGGAGGGGGGAGCTTTATTGCACACACGTGTGTGTATGAGAAAGAGAGAATGATTGTAACTGGAACGAAGATGCAATGTTCGAAGAAAAAAATTAATTGCAATTTTATGCCTCTTTTATATTGGGTACTTCCTTGAAAAGTTTAACATTTTTTATTGTAGTGTTTGAGATTTATTTACAGGCTGTCCTTGGAACTTGGGGCAGGGGTGTGTGGGTGGAATAAATCACATACAAACATACACACACATTTAAAAGAGGTCTTTTTCATTTCATTGAAATAGCTTGAAGGTTGACTCCAGAATAAACTGATTTTTCAATCTTCTGTTGGCTGGGGGGAACAGACATGGGGGGCGGGGGTGAAGATGACTGAAGTTCCACTTGACTTCAGAGATTTAATAATACCCCGGCCACACATGGCTTCAAATTCTTTGCTGAACTGTAAGACAGAGCTGGAAGCAAGAGGAAGATGGCCAAGAGGCCTGCTGATTCTCCATTTTTGTAATGCAAGGTTATCTTAATGACTGTTACGCCAAGAGGTGAAACAGTCCAAGCATGGAAAGTTTGACCCATAGGCCCTGGATTTGCCCAGAGTCACTTCTTTGTGAGATGGGTGGTATCTAAATTGGAAATATAAATAAAATAAATTCTCCCCCTCCTTTAAAAAAATACAACAAGGTTTATCCTTTATCCTTATCATATCTGCAAGGGTTTTCCCATTCCTTTGAACAGCAAAATTGATTTAGGAATAGAATGCAAATCTCTATCATCTGTCTGTCTGTCTGTCTATCTATCGATCTATCATCTGTCTGTCTGTCTTACCCAGTTCTGCTTGTTAGAAGCTGGGATGGGTCAGATGGCTTATTTCAGGGTTCTTTTTAAAACTCCATATCCAAAAGATTTCCATATATTCCCTGTATATAGTGTTACTTGTCCAGGGTGAGCAGGAAGTGGGCAAGAAATGTGGGGTGGGGAGGACAGGGTCTTTAAAATATTAGATAAGAGGTGCTGGGGAGGCTCCCATCTCCCACGGCCTTCTCTTTGCCTTTGCTCAAAATGAAACCCCCATTTTTGGCCCATGCATTTAGAATTTATGAACAAGAATGCCTATTGCTGATCTCTAAATCGTTTAAGCCAGCATCGGTCATTGCCCAGGATGCCAGTCTAGGGAGGCATCTAAAGACCCAACTTGCAGGATCCAAAGGCGCAATCCCTGGTTCCACGCGAGGAGCCTTGCAACCAGATCGCGGTTTTAGGTTTCCTCCTCGCTCCCCTCCCTTGCCTGGGGGTTGGGAAACCTTGCCGAAGGCTTGGCCGCCAGTTGCATCGTCCCCACTTGGGTCCGAGAGCTTGCAAAAGAGATCATCTCCACCCACTTGGCAGCTATTTTCAGCTATAGAGCCCAGTCATGGAGGCACTGAATTGCAGAACAGACCGCAACAAGGGAATTTCCCCATCTGCCCAATTTCCTGAGGGTTGCAGCAACGAGTTTGGGGGGCTCCCGTGCCCCCCAAGAAATCAGTGCTGGAGCATTCTGAACCGAGGGCCCTCCAGCATCTGCTCGAAGACTTCCAGCTAAGACTTACCTTGACATATTGGATTTTTTATTACTGAACAGTTCTTACACTCAAGACGCTCCTGCTATGTTGAACCAAATTTCATTTCTTCTAACAGTCAGCTAAATCCATCTTCTTCACCTCTGGCCAAACCCATTTTCTTTCTCACTTTTTGCACAGCAGTTACATCTTTGCTGGAGAGAAATTGGGTATTATTAACAGAGTTAATTGAGAGACACACATGGGCCTGGACGACTGCTTCTGTCCTTCTGGAGCCGATCTGTAACTTTTTCACGTGTTTTTTTTTCAAGGCATCAGTTTGGCATACAAACAGCCAAGGAAGATCTTTGCTATGTTCATCTCTCTAAAAGCTGGACCAGGGTTGCAATCTCTAGCATTCAAGAGGATTGATATCCTGCATTTTGTGAACAAACAAAAATGGAAATCATTGGAGCTGGATGTAAATGGTGCAAGGGGTTATACAGTATGGTCATGGGTTTGCATATTTAAAATGTAAGAGGCTAAGGTGAGTTTCACTGGATGGGAATGAAGAAGCGCTGAGAAACTGACCGGTCATCAGAAACTGACCATCGGACTTGCATTTCTCTGTTTACAGTTCCAGCAACTGGGGTTAAAAGGCAGGCTTCTCTTGAGAATGGGGGTGCTATATGGCCATCCAGACCAAAAGCCATGGATAACCTCTCTTAATTTCCCACCACGAATTGCTTTTTAACACACAGAATTAAAATTCTGGCCATCCTGCATTTCTCACCATTGGGTTCGCGTATGAAGAGCGAGGCAGAAGAATTCTTGATCCAGTTTCTCCAGACCCGCCACTTCTGCCTTGCCAAATTCCAGGCGACTTTATTGATTTCTTTGCTGGCGACTAGTGACTGTATTTTGTGGCTCGGTACGGTTGCCATCCTTTCCTTCTCCCTTGCAAATTTTTTTATCCCCCCGCTGTGTCTTCCTCCCCTTAGCTGATATTTTTTGAAGCTGGAGGTATCTCCCATGTGGCACGTTTTCCTCCAAGGAGCCTTACTATATCCCCTAATGCTAATTTCTGTTCTTTCCTGCTCTGCAATCTCATTCTAAAGCAATGTTTCTCAACCATGGCAAGATGGATGGACTCCAACTCCCAGAATGCCCCA